TCAATGGCTTCAACCTTGTCCGTAATCCCTTTGAGAAGCGCCGCACTATTGTTGTTAAAGCGCTGTACCAGCTGCGAGGTGTTGTAGTGCGTATCGTACCACATATTAGCAACGACGTCGGATGTTGCATCCCTAAGAGCTTTGGCATCTCGACCATGCACCACATCTGAATCCCCCACATCACCTAGTGTAGCTCTAAGAGTGGCCATCATTTTAACCGGAGTTGCTGTATCTGTATCAGTGTCCTCTACGGGACCAGTAGTAGGTTCTAAGCTCTGTGTTTGGGTAACTACGGCCCCTGTATCAACCGAATGGGCACGAGAGCGAGTCACCAGAGGTGCCATTCGAGGGAAGAGCGCAAGAAAAGTACGATGGAAAACGAAGAATATGTGAAATGTGTCTTCTTCTAACATTAACATGTATATATATGAGTCCGTTATCAGATAAGAAAAAAAATATGTAAACATATCCCTGAAAACCATTTTCCCCGACCCTTATCTTCTGTCTATCTCATGAGAAAAAAACATAATTTTTCCCTATGTTTATAACTCACAAGCTTTCCGCGCTCTGTATCTGGGAGTGCGATCACATCGCCGACATAAACATTTGTCCGCGGCGCTCGCTGTAGTTCTCGCGGCGCCTCATGCGCGGACGTAACATAACGAAACATAATATTGCATACGCTAGGCGTATTAGATGAAAAGAGCTGTGGATGCATAGTCACAATGCACAAAATCTAGCTAATTCTATACAGGAACACTCAAAATTCTATCACCGGTGATTCGAAGCGACACATTACATAATCACTACTTCAACTTTAGAAAATCTTCATAGCTGCAGCTTACTCATTAACGTTCTTTCACGTTTCTCAACACTTGATCGATCACCATTCTAACAGTTTAACGCCTTGTCGGGCCCCTCTCATGAGACACGCGCGATAATTCACTCCAGAACTTGACACAAAACTTCAATGCTCCAATATCAAAACACTGCACTCATCATTCAATCACTCGCGAGACGTTTTCCAGAAACAAGATAAAAAGGCGCCAAAAGAAAGGCCAAAGAAAATTGTAGATAGCGAAATCACTATTAAGAAGATGACTAGAGAAAGATGTAGGAAATAATCCTAGTTCTAAATGCACTTTCTTCGTCCATGCTGCGAGAAAAAAACTACACGAACCTGACTTTTGATGTTGATAACCGTAAAATGGAGAAAATTGAGCATGGAACATTTTCAAAGATCGTTCGTTGCCCACTGCGGAGCTAAGGCTAGTTAGTTCCAAAAAATTACTCACCTTACATCCCACTTGCTGTTTGCACTCGCTGCTACCAGTAAGATCTGGGCCCAATAGATATTTTCTTTACTAGTAGGCGATATACAGTGGTAATAACATGATTTACTAGACACAATACATGACGGTACAGAGTAAACAGCAGAGGTTGGTGCAAGATGGTCTGTAGGGGAGCGTGCCGCTCTGCAGCTGAGGGTTCCGAGATCTCTCTCTTACAGTCTCATGTGTCTGTTTTATATCGGTTGGCAACCGTTATCAGATCGTTCTCAGCTATGCTGATTGTAGAAATATGTCAACATCTGCATATGCCACCGTGAGATATCGTTCCCTCTTACACATTGATTATGAGCGATCAAGAGCGTACTCCTAACTGTTTGCTATTCTTCGTAACATTCTTACATGGGATGAAAACACTCCCATCAGACTGTATAAAGCCTGTGTGCGTCCGCATCTGGAGTATTGCTCCCAATGGAACCCCTCATGTAGAAAGGTGACCCTAAAACTTGAAAAGGTTCAGCAAGTGTTTACAAAAATGGTCCTCTGTCGCAAACTGCGAAGAATATCCAGGAAAGACATGCCATTTCTTGTGGAACGCCTTAGAATGCTTGGATTGAAATCGCTGATGAATAGAAGGATAATGGCTGACTTGGTTTTCTGTTTTCGTATACTGCAAAAGAGGTTGGCTTAAGAACTGGCACTTTTTGGATCTTTAAACCTGCCACTTGTAGGCGGGGCGGCTTAAACCTGCATTATCCTAGGTTACAAAAGAGCTCCTATTCCGGTCTTTTCAACTCACTATTCTATGCGCTGGATCCATCGACTAATTTTCAAACTATCAACTTCCAAAAATAGTTGGGCTTTGAAAGAAGTTTGCTGAAAATTGATGCCCCTAGTATTTTGCATTGTGGGCTGTACCTCTGTTGATACTTTTTTTATTCGTGTCAAGGCCGATTTAGGTTTTATTCAATAAGAGCACTTATCAGTTGGACTTTGCAAGTCCTACTCTTGTATACTTTTTTCATTACTTTTCCTTTCTCACATCTTTTCTTAAACGTGTTCTTTTCTTGTTCAGGTTTTCTTGCGCGGTTTGGAACGTTCATTTATGGCCTGGTTACATTATGTCAGTCTTATCAAGTCAGCTGGTAATTGTGCGATTAGTAGAAATCGCTTACCAATCGCTTCAGGCTCTCTCTTGCCGTGTGCATTTCCGATTTAATCAGTGCATGTGTTCAACATGTTCTACTTTTTTTTCTCTGCTTTCCTAGATTCGTTCGTCAAATCCACTAAATCATGTAGTTTTGAGCCCAGCCTGGCTGCTATTAGGTTGTAAAGAAAGTTCCCGAGCACTTGCGAAGAATTTTTTCAAATTGCTGTAACTCCAAGCAGATTGATTCTTTTTTGAAGCTGCGAACTTCATTGCAAAGACAATTTTGTCCACAACATAAATTTGTCTTGCTGGCTTCTCAGCACCTCACTGCGGTCCACCGGCATGCGCAGAAGGGAAAAAGGTCGTCGCGAAAAGTGGCCTGTTTGTGCAAGATTATCTCAGGCAGGATGAGAGCTGGAGAGCCCAGATGCTGTAGTTATATAGTGGTCTGCTGGGGCTGTTATGGGGACCATTCATGTTTTTCAAGGACCATCTGCAGAAAAATTTTCTCCAGAAGGTTTGAAAAATCGACCATTTTTTGCCCCTAAAAATGCACCATTTTTCGAGTAAGTGACTTTGAAGCCCTCTAGTCCTGCACAGAAAAGACCGAATCTTTTGACATCTTTTGGACCCATCATCCAGGCTTGGCGATCCCTGCAGAAGCGACGTCAGCTGCGAAAAGAGTTCCAGTCAGAGGCAACTTTGACAGCATGTAATTTCTGAGCACAAAACGCAAAAGTTGAGTGCACCGGCGGGTCAGAAGATAACAGGCTTTTCAAACAGATTACCAATGATTTGGACGAAATTGTTTGAATTGCACAAAAAAATCGCCGTAGGAAGAGAAATTGTGAAATTTTTGTGGTTGGAAAGATTTCTCTTCTTGATGTGCAGATCAAACACGTCTTGGCATCGATAGGAGTCAGAAGGCGTATTGAAAACTTCAGGCTTTCTTCGACCGAACAGTATAAAAAACTTGGTGTCAAAGTCCGACCGAGCGCCGAAAAATTTTTAAAAGTGCCCGGGAACTTTCTTCGAAACCTAATAACTTGTTACTATTCATACAGCTTGCTGATTCTTACTACGCTTGCTCAACCTACATTTCTGTTACAGTTGAAGTCAGGACCCTCCCCACCAAACCGTGCTGGGCGAGGTTTGCCAGTATACCCCCGCCCCTCCCCCGAACTTCCGGTTTGCTTATGAATAACTAGCTGGCTTACCCGGCTCCGCCGTATGTTCCGAATAGAAAATTCCATTTCTTAACCTATCCGAATCAAACTTGGCACACACACACTTCGGGCCCCGGCGGGTGTCACAGTCCACTTTTCGTTATCGACTGATGTCGATTTTATCGATTTTTTGCAAAACTTGAGCTAGGGGGCTGGGATTTGGCACAGGGGGGTATTCGAGCATGCATTACGAATACAATATTAGTTTTCGAAACCGTGCATTACTTTTATCGATTTTATCGAATTTTTGCAAAATTTGAGCTAGGGGGCTGGAATTTGGCAGGGGGTGTAATCGAGCATGCTGATCACCCCCACGAGGGTGATCAGCATGCTCGATTACCCCCCTGTGCCAAATCCCAGCCCCGTAGCTCAAATTTTGCAAAAATTCGATAAAATCGATAAAAGTAATGCACGATTTTAAAAACTAATATTGTATTCGGAATCCCCATGCTCACTTACTCCCCTGTGCCAACTCCCAGCCCCGTAGCTCAAATTTTGCAAAAAATCGATAAAATCGATATCGATCGATGACGAAAAGTAGCCTATGACACGCGCCGGGGCCCGAAGTGTATGTGTGCCAAGTTTGGTCCGGATCGGTTCAGAAATGGAATTTTCTATTCGGAACATACGTACACACAGACAGACATACAGACAGACAGACAGACATACATACAAACAGACATTCAGCTTTATATATAAGATGTAAAGATCGTTGCTCGCTGGCAAACGGGGCGGCATGGGCACTTCTCCAAAGAGTCTATGCTAGCACAAGATTATGTGCAATCGAGATACAAGTAATGCAAGCTTATACATTATTACCACACTAATTTTTTCTTAACACATTGACGACCGCTTGACACACACCGTTTCAACGACACATATGGTGTGTCAAGACACACCATATGTGTCGTTAAAATGGCTACTGTTTTGCGTAAAACCCACCCCAGGTGTTTTCTTTTAAGTTGGATCTAGACATTACCTTTACTGTTTTTGCCAGCATTCCAGCGTTACTGTAGATGTACTTTAAATGGAATTGTGCGTAATTTTATCTAGAAAATGTTACTTTTCCGTGAAACGCCTTGGTCGTCAATGTGGTAATAAGTCGTTTAGACTGGGCTTAGGATGAGGTGGTGAATTTTTTGTTGCTGTTGTGTTCCACGTATGACTAACATTCCATTATTTTTGATATGGACCGCCTCGAGCGTATGAATGAAATGAAACTTCAACGACATAAGCAAAAATTTGTAAAAGTTCATTGAAATTACAATTATTAGTACATCATGCGAATATTCAATAGTTCAATCGGATGGTACAATTTAATATCGTTTAAGTGCTTCATGTGATAAACCCGATTAGTTACAAATAAGTGAAGGGTTACTTATTAGGAATGAAAAGACTACAGATAAGAATAATATTCATTTATCAACAGAGCTAAATTTTTGGAAATGTTTAATCAAGGGGCACATGCAATTTTCATCACAAATTGGTATGTATATAGTTTAGTTAAGTGAACATCATCAGTGATTATGCTCAGGAAATGATTTTGATGATTCAAGAGATAAAAGAACCTAAGGTTCGCATGTGTGACGCTAATCGCCAATATAGCTGATCGCTATCAAAAGGAGTATAGCTGCTCGTTTTGCTATAATTTGATAGTTCTCAAAGCGTCAGCTTCAAATATTTCAAGCAAAACTTCAGTTCCGCTATTGAAAGGGATTTTAGTGGCTCCATCGAGGACCAAGAATCCTTTGGAGCACTTGGACTTCAGACGAATGCGACGTGCAAAACCTCGAACACTTGTGCGCTTGAAGGTGGCATTGAAGATTGGTTCGCGGATGGAGTAAGCAAAATCTAAAAGAAAATTTTGACCTTCGAGTTTCTGGTATAATGAAAATTTGACTCACTAGGATGATCCGGTTCGAATGTGATTTTGTCATTCATTTTCTTCGCGATTTCTTCGGATAGCTCTTTTACATTCGCTTTGACCTCTACTCCCATACTCTGCATGGCTTCCAGTATGGCAGAAACAGTTTGTTCTTCCACTCGATTCATTCCATAATACCTATAAAAATGAAATTAAGATAAATATCGTCGAAACTGTCAGTTTGTGTTTCATATGTAATTTTAGATGATCAGAGTATAGTCAAAACAACCCTTTAATGTTGGAGCGGTCTGTTCCCAGTGGCGGAGAGAGAATGGAGGGGGAGGGGGGGAGAGGTCGAATTCGGTCAAAACTTTGGAAGGGGTTCAAATGAACCACAATTTTTCAAAGCATGTCTGTAGTCCTAGATAATTTTGGAAACTTTTGAAATTCTAGCTTTATAAAAGCAGTTTGACAAAAGCCCGCCTGAAAATGTCTCTTTGAAATATTGAAGATTATAAGCGCTAAAAAGCGGGGAAAAGACTCTGAACAATTTTTCAGGAAAAGTACAAACCCACTTATTTGAGACAGTTATTGAAAAATTTTTTCTATATTTTGTTGTAAGTTACCCACCAACTTGTGCTTCCCGTACCCGTACTGACAATGAGTCCACTGCTCTTCTGTTTTACCATGGGTTGATCGTCGATCGAAATGGAATAGGTAGAGACCTGAGATACCCCGATTAATTCGCTCAGGATTGAAAAAATTCTGAAGGCGTACCTTGGCTGCTTCATCTTCTCCAACAAAAACTTCATTAAGGGCTAGTATGCAGTCATTTTTAGCATCCTGTTTTTTATTGAGTACGGTAACTCGGATCCGATTCCGGTTTGCAAATCTGAAGTGAGGAAAGTGCGACTTTTTGGTCCTTCTACAGCCAATCAGATTTCAACTCACTGGAATTTTCCTTCAACAATTCGCTTGAACAGATCATGTGGAGGATTTTTACCACCTATGCACAAATGTCCTTCAGATCTGAAAAAATCAGATTTCAACAAAGCAAAAATCCTGTTTATGACCGCGTAAAAAAGATATTTTCATCTGCGAAAGCTCCGTCATACTGTATGTCCTATCCCACCTCTTCGAAAATTGTTTTCAGAATAACTCGATTAGGGAACGAGTACTGACCCGACAGGATCGGTGTTGATGCCTATCACGGGTGTTTTGTCCGCAACTGCGGCCGCAGCCGTCAGGTATGTACCATCTCCGCCGGCGGAAACAACCAAGTCGGCCCATGGAACTGCAGCACGAAGTGATTGCCGTGTGACCACTTGACTGATGATCTTCGCTTCTCTGCAATTCAATGAAATGCGACGCCAGAACAGAAAAAGGTAGAGTATAAAACGAGATATTATAATTGTTTTTTGATAAATTCACTTGAGAGGCTTTTTTGGGTTACAGTATGCTACAGTACTCACAAGCTTAATACCTACCGCAAAAGGAGGATACTATGGTCTGGCAACGCCACTTTTTCGCAATTTGCCAGAGAAAAAAAATTTATAAAAATTTTCACTCATTCTTCTTGTCCTCTTCCCCCTCCCCCTCTCCCCCACTGTCGCTCTGCAAGCTTTTAGCTTCAAGTGCGGAATTCCGAAATCAATGAGGCCTTGTTCTAAGCATGATGCACTTTTAGTTCGCATGTCATTTGATTCAGCACTTTTTTGTTTGGACCGACGCATCGCGATTAATTCTTGATGAACAAAGAACAGATTCCAGTGCGTTGAAAAAGAATTCTGGCTCAGTTTTCGTTGCAGAAAAAATCTTCGGGGCAAAGTACAATGTGCTCTGGCAGATCAACCTAGATTTACATTCAAGCAAACCAGTTTTGAGCCGCAACAATGATTTGGGTTCTCTTTCGAAGTTCCTAGCAGGTTTTGTGAGATCAGGTAATTTGTCTTTCCATGCCCAATTGATCAAAATAAGGTTCGTATAAGATCGCTAAAGCATGGCCTCGAAAATTGTTGAAAAATTAAATTTTTTGTTTTAGGATGAGAAAAACGATCGTCACTTTGCTATGGAATAAATAGGCTTGTTGCTCAAAGGACCATTCGTATACCCTCAGCTTGATTTCCCACGACTAAAAATGGGATAATTATCCCAGAAATGTTCGAATCTCAAGACTTCTTTTACAACAAGCACACCCTATACATCGTCTCTCATTCTTTAGATCAAAAATAAAATCATCAGTGTTTTCAACAGCGATTCTGGGACAGACATAAACACCTTAGATAAAAATAAACAAAGATCTTTGAGACACTCACTCAAGTCTAGCCAGGATCTCCCTCACGGCTGCTTTTTGTTTCTTATCACTTTCGATCATGTCGGTAACATCATATCCCTTGGATCGGAGATGTTGTAGCAGTTGTTGAGTCGTTTTATGCGGGTGTTTCTGCTTTTCCCAATCCAATCGGGTCAATTTTTGTAGAACAACTGCCGTGCGGAACTGCTGGAAACATAGAAATTTAATCAGCTCCATAACCATGAAGCAAAAATCAATTTGTTTTTTCGAATATATTGGTTTTTTATTCCTTTTTTTCCACGTTCTGTACCACAGGCAACACCTAGTCCCTTCCCCCTCCCTCAATCTGCACCATAAATTATCTCTACAAGCAGAGGCATTCACGCTTCTGTCACATGTCATCGACACCAATGGTATGTCCCTGATTGCAAATACGTCGAAAAGACCAGAATGTGGTGGAACCAATGGCGAATGGGGTGATAAAACATCGGTCAGCGCACTGATTACCAAAGTTCTTAGTCTAGATTGCAAGGCTACAAAATAGTCTTGCAAAGACGACACTGGAAATTTGGCAATATTTACCTGTGTCACACCACTCTTTAGATATTGAAGGTATGGTAGAATTATGGTTTTATTCATTGAAGTGTCGAAACTAGGAGCAGAGCACATGCCAACGCCTAATAGTCGAGAATGGCTTGGTAAAATTCATGTTTCGTTGCTGGAGTATAGTTGTTACTCTGAGAACTTTACTTTCATCGAATTAGTTTAGTAGGTAACGTTGGAACGAGACTCTCCTGTACTTCCCCAAATAGTTACAAAGTGTACAATCAGGTGAAGAGGTAATTCTGCGAACAGTTTTTGGAAGTAGAACTCATCCTTTTGAAGAGTGGAAATGACAAAGAGTTGATCAAAACTTGCTCAGGTCTTTCCGAACTCGATGTATGACTATAAACTGTGATTCCGAATATTTACGCTTCATTTTTGCTGAACAATTTTTTGCGCGGTTACGCACATTTGAGACTGTCAACTGTAGTTAAACAACCGAATATTTCTCGAATATTCGCGAAAGATTCATTTGAAGTAGAAAATTCGAATATTCAGGGAAGTGCATTTATTTGATTATTCGAGTAATCAAATAAATGAAAAAAACATTCATTCGACTATTTGTTTATTCAACGAATCGAGAAAACAGCTTATTCGAAATTTTATTCGAATATTCGAAAATTCAAGAAATATTTGGTTCTATACGATCTAAAAGCTTCAGACTCCTGCCAACCAGTTGATGCCACTCAAAATCTCATCTACAAAATATAAATTTTGTTCTCAAAGCTCTAAAGAAATTGTTTTGCTTTTTTGGATCAAGAAATAATAACTGTCTTATGTGAATACAAAATCAAGCTGAAGTGTAGAACTATCAAAATCTCCTTTCAGTCCAATTCTCAGTCTCTGACATCAATTTCAAGCCATGTAAATTACTGTTACCCACTTTGAATACTGCAATTTCAGCGAAGAGCAATGTGTTCTTTAGGAGCCACTGTAGTCTGCAGAACAGATTTCTTACACTAAAGTGCATTCTTGCAGAATGTCCTTTTACATACCGGTTTGCTAAACGCAACAATGTTCAGATTGAGTGACTGTCTTCAAAAGTGCACAAGCGAGTTGGGTTCGAAAACATCGGGAATTTTAACACTCTCTAGACAAATACGGAGCAATCCCTAAGCGAAGAAGCATTTTAGCTTTATTAGGATAGGGAGTGAGAATGGATAGGATCTCACTATACAGTAATCAGTAAATTACAATAATCTTTTTTAAAAGTGAGCGCGCAGTCATAAAGATCAGAATCTACGGCAAAGAGACAAAATAAGCTAACTTCTTAGAATCTTTCCCACCGTTTTTTGCAAGTGTTCATGGTTGCCAACTCTAATTAGCCTAGCGTAAGAGTTTCCAGGTTCTTCGGTTTGCTTTCCGAAACAAAATAAAGCCCTTAATGGCTCAAAACCCTTTCTGAAGTTCCTACCATAATCCTACAGTACTGAAGAGCAATGATTCATTCCACTTTATATACACCATTCATGCTTCATGTGACTGAATTACAAAGTAGCTACAATCAAGGAATGAATCATTGCTCAGCTTACGAGTTCATTCGAGAAAAAAAAACAATTAAATAAAATTCAGGCGATAGTAAATCAAAAGCTCATGCAATAAGTGGTTAGAATACAAAACTTTTACATAAGTCACAAATTTCGTGACTGGTTTGTCATTGGTTTTCGCTCTTTTTCAACGTTTAGGCACTAATCCTTGTGAATAACTATATGAACCAAATACGTCCGAAGGAATGCACTATAAGCCTCCTATTACTTTAGATGTGCCATCGTACTTTCAATTAATTCCTTAAGCTTAGCATCGACCCGTTTAATCTCATACCGCAACCGTGACCATAGACTTGTGTCTGGCGCTTGTCTTATCTAATCTGTAATAGTCTGCAAGGATTTACAGCCTAAATTTGCATGAAAAAACCGCCCTGAATGACATATAGAAATTCCTTTCATTAAACACTATGGTGTTTGAATTTTAAGATTCTTGTGATTAAGTAAAAACCCAGGTCTCGTGACAATGAAGCTGATCTGATACATGCCCATATCAACGCCTATTTGTACCATTTCAAAAAGGGTTTTTACCCGATATCATTTCTGCAATTTGTCATATGTAAAGAATGCATATTGATTGCTAAAAAACACTCACCGGTGGCGGATTGCTAACGCTAGGAACTTCCGCTTCTGGTATCGATATAAGGCCTGGGTGAATTTTCACGACGGCCGTCATAGATCTGAAAATACTTTGTTCAGTAATCTTACATAGGGTCAGATTACCATAGCATGTCGGTAGAGGCAGCAGAGGAGAAATTGTCATGGAACATTCCAGAAGCTAGACAAGATGGTTACAGTAAAATTATTTTCCGTATGTGTAAATGGAACGATCAACTGGCATGTGGGGTGACTACTTTGGACCATTAAGCGGTTCTCCGAACAAAAAACTCTCATGGCGCCACCCAAACATCAAGGACGATGGTCGGCGAAAAATGGAAGAGTACAAAGTGCAAAATGTCAAGCAATTACATCTAAACTTTGCTGCCGATCGCACCGCGATGCGATGCGATTCAGATGCGATTGCTAGCAAAATTAGCCGAGGTGACAATAAAGATGGCACCATGCGCGATGGGGGCGTCTCGCTGTTGGTACGTTTGCCCAGCAGCGATAGGAATGTTTGATCGCGTCATACGTTGCAATCGCGTTTTGATAGCGACGACGAAAAAGGTGAGAAATGCCCGGAAAAATCGAGAACTGAGGGAGAATTGAGTAATATATTGACTCACTCGATGGTTCCACTATTTATTAAAAAATAAGAGGAAATAAACCTAGATAAGAAACGCAAACCCAGACAGACAATTTCATTAGACATACCAAAACTACGTCACATTAGATGTCAACGAAAAGATTCACCGTGTCAGTGACACCGTCTCGAAGTTCTCTGGTTAGCGCTTTTTGCAAAACTTTTTTTTTCTAAGATTTAGGTATCGAAATTATCGAGTCAATGACATCTGAAAAGTGCAGAAAAAAAGTTCGAGAGCCAGACACAGCACTAGTCAGAAATAGCAATTAGCAGCAATTATCAAACCAGTTCTAAAGAAATGGACTTTTTTCAGGGCCTGAAGAATTTCTTTTGCTAAAAGTGCCCGCGGAGATAAAAGGGTATTACAGGCAAGTCCTCAATAAAGGCAGGTGAATTGATGGGCAATGTGGTCACAAACTTAGCAGTCGCCGTCGAGCACATTTCATTATTAGAGCTAATAACGCTCGCGTACGTTTCGCTTCGTATAACGAACGCCTTCGTCACGGACTAGCCTTTACTCTGTTAAAAAATTGGGTAACCAACGGTTTTGCCTCTTAGAATCTTGATGTCCATCTTCTCAGACATCACAGGAACTTCCGCAGGACAAGCGAAATTTGCGGCAATTCCGCAGGATTTGCTTACTATTGCAAAAAAAACGTCAAGAATGGAGAATTCCGTGGTTTCAAAATTTTTTGATTTGTAAAATTCCGCGGGACTTCTTGCAAAGCGCTGCCGAACTTTCGAAGAATGTCAGTGGTTCCGCAGCATTTTGACTTGCCAGTACTTCCGCAGGTTTTTGAGCATATTGTTTCTTACGATGTCGCCTCGCCAAGAACTAGAGTGCCACGTCGAACGTCATCCGTAGTGCAGAGAATAGTGAGTCTCGCAATTAATAGAGTAAGTTTCAGATCTCGCTTAGGTGTTCTCTTTTGCTGCTAATTGAGAGCTTCCGCAGCACGTTTGCGCAACATCTGCAGGTGACCCGGCAGTACTTTCCCAGACGTCCTGCGGAAGTTCCGGTCAGTTGTCTGAGTAGAATGGCTCTCTTATTGTTTCTTAATGCAATATTCAGCACGGCAGTCGCTACTGGCAACAAATCAATAGTTTGCAAATGCATAGTCAATTATGCAATGCTTGAGATGAATAAAAAGTAATTAAATAAATAAACGGTCAAATAAAGATTGTCGCTGTTTGCATCACAGGAACAAATTGTTCGTGCTTCGCAGTGAACAGAAAATCCATTCCATGGCCTGCTTCAGAGAGAAGATCTATCACAGACGATTGCACAAAAAATTCACACACGAGGAGAATTAGGTCACAGCTTTGAATGGTTATTTGGAATGAAAATCTGTCTCACATTATAATTTCAACATTTACTTTGTCTAGAGTTTGAAAGAAATTGCGATATCTGTAGCTATAAATTAGTAGCATATGGTTGGTACTTGAATTACTAGAGAATATAGCCTCAATTGAATCGAAAATTCGATGTAAATGAAATAATCTCGAGTAAATGGCATAAAAAAGGCTGAATTACCAGAAGAAGAGCGAACAAGGGGATGCGAGGACAAGTTAATTCAGCAAATGAGGGCGAATGAAGGACAAACTAGAAAAAAGACGTCCGTTTATGGGTGATTTAACTCTAGAGGGTTGTTAGTCCAGGAAAGTCGAGTTGGCCAAGAAAATGAATCTAACCAATTAGTGATTTCCATAAGCTGTGTGCACGGAGTTTGTGATGAGTCAGGCTTCTTAATTTTCCAGAAAGTTAGTAGTAGAAAGAGCTTCAGGCATAGGTAAAATAGTAAACTGAACGAACTTTAGAGATAGTACATAATGACACATCAATCGACATGAAAATCTTCATAGAATGGGTAATGATAAACAAAGCCTTATGTTAAAATATCATATTTTTCTACTTAGAAATTCTTGAATTTCGGCTGGGTTTGCTTAAACGCTTCAACAAAATGAACTTCACATGAAAGTTTGTTTGTTGTGTCATGAGCGTGTCTGTGAGTCATTGGCTGAGATTTATCAACAAACTAGCAAGTTGCGAAAGAACTTTTGAACAATAAAACAAACATATGTCTAGGCAAAGACTGCTAGCTGTGCACCAGCAAATATACAATGCAAGGAAATTGCGAAACTGCAGCAAATAAAATTTATTGCAGTGAGTGTGCGAGAAATAGGAACATGTCGTTAAATCGATGTCAAAATTGAGGTCGGCTGGATTGCACCAGAATTACACGATTAGGACAGCGAAGAACGTTCAAAATGTTGCGCAAATGACACTCAAAAGTAGTTTTTTTTTTGCGTCACATGAATGGAAATTATCTTCAAATGTTTTGCCTGATTTGCACAGCAGAATATCACCTGAGTCTTTGATTAGTCGCACATTAGACGACGTCAGAAACGACAGGAAAAATATAGAAAAGAAGCTATAGTAATCCTCAATTTAGCAATTACTTTGTACAGTTGCACCAGTTCTGTTTTGCACTGATACATGGCGGAAGCAGCAGAGTCCCTATCATGATTGCAAGGAGATTTAAAATAACGGAAAACGCAAAAAAGATGCAAATAATGACGTCACCTTACATTACCAAGCAAACTCAAGTAAATGCAAACATTTAGATTACTGCTGAAATGAGCCCAAGTCTAGAAAATTGATAGGCCTCCTTACCTTTTCAAAACTCCAATCATTATCGCATAAAAACTACCAAAACTAAATAAAAGAAGAATTCTTGGTCTTGACAAATAATTCGTGATTTTTCGAGCCACATTTTTAACAGCTATTATCAGGATGGGAATGGCACTGTGGTATGTAACTTGAAGCTAGAACAAGCTAGAAGTTGAAGTAAAGACATTCTAGATGCTCTCAAAATACAATGCCCAGAGAAAAGTTCGATTATTTATCTTTGTTTATCGTCAAAAAAATTTTTGGCTTAATAATGAATATGAATATTTTTCTGGGACAATATCTAAAGCTAAGACGAAAAGGGCGTAGTTAAAGCTCTATGCTTCTTAGAGCTATTTGAAGGAATAACCTATTCTTGGAGACAGCTGATGCTGATTTTGTGGTCCGATGGGACAGTGGAAATCCGGGCAAATAGCTTCGACCCAAATCCACACAAATGCAGAAGTAGATACTACTGACGATGAGATTGGCAGTCATTACAGCAACATACAATACAGTGCTGAAAGCTTTTGGAAGATAACATCAAACAGATGACGTAAACACGTCTAATGCTACATCACAGTGATATTCCCACCATTCTACGTCAGCTTGGTGCTAAATCAGAGCTAGAATTTTGCTATGAATAACTAAGCAGGGCAATAGGTATAAGCAATAGGTATGAGAGTTATCAGAATTAACTGTCCATTTCCGCAGGGCGTAAGGAAGGTGAAAGCAAGGTCCATGCAGGAGGCTAGCAATACATGTAAAAGGCAAAAAACAAAGAATAACGAACAATGACTAATTATCAATGCTAAACCATGTAAGAAGAATTTCATAGCTTACCTTTTCTCATCTTTCTCGTACAGGTAGAAAACAGAGAAAAACATCCATATCAGCCATAGAGAAGCAGTGCAGAATACAAAAGTTACAGAAGCTTTCATACACCCGGAACCGATTTTAATATGACAAGGATTACTGAAATGGAATAGCAGAGTCCAAAATAAGGTCAAAAGTCTCCTTACTGTGAATGTCAGCAATTAATCTGTGGGCGTCTTAGACGAGAAATGTTTGCATGGTGAGTGTAATATCCTTGAACATGTTTTCTGAGTTTTTTTTGCAAAAAGGGTATACTAGAAATATAAAGACGTATCTAGAGCAGCAGCTAATTCTCCCTCTCTATGGCTACATAAAATTGATCAAAACCAGAGTAACAAGTCCAAAAATTTTCAGTCATTTTTGTGACTTCACAAGAAAAATCCTATCTTTCCGTATGAGCCCTGAATCTCATTTGAATACCCAAAGAAGGCGTTACAAATTTCTCGGATAACATCAGCATAATAACAGCTTCATTAAGAAAAGGCATTTGGAGCAGCAGCACAACGGCTGCCAACGACAATGAAGATATGGTAACTGAAAGCCTACATTTTTGAGCGGGACAGGATAAACTTATTTCAGTTTTATATTCTCATAGGGACGAAATATATAACGGGACAAAAGATTTTTTCATTGTGAAAGGTCGTAGTGGCCTCACTATTATGTAACACTGCACTTATTTTCTGATTCGACAAAATTTGTCAGATTTTTTTTTAACAGGTAAACTTGATGAACAAGACTTTTGAGTAATGTTAATATGCATTTAATCCTGAGTATGAAATCAAGATTTTCAAAATGAAAGAAATAGAAAGAAATTTTAGTCATACATAGCAGAAAGGATGGGAAGAGTTACGAATTAGTGATATACGTGCAAATATACAATCAGATGTCCATTTGCATCAGGAACCGTCAATGACCGATGATAAATTAACGGAAAATTGTGATACATTTTTCCAATGACAGCGACAAGAGACTGTTCAAAACCATGAAATAGTGAAGAGATTTAGAGAAAATCAGCGCGTTGCCGAAAAAGAATATGTAGCTGAAACAGAGGAACGGTGTAGCGGAACGGTTAGTCGATGCTCACGGCAGAGACAATGTATGGACAGAAGATACGCAGGTGGCTAGGACCGCGCAGCTGCAATGGTTGCAAAGTCTGTTCTGTCTGCGTCGTTAACTGGACTATATTTTTACAGTCGCGGCTTTTGTACAAGTAATAATCAAACACGGAAGAAATTGAAAGATATAGAACAAATAGAGTAATTTAGCTGAAGCAAATTGACGGGGAAAATCGCAGTCATGGTGACGATTCGGCTGTATTGTTTGCGCCTGTTTACTAGACGATGGCTGATGAAGCAGCACTGTGTAAAGTTACGAGGCAGAAGTTATGAGCTTTGGCTAGACAGCTAGCTCGCCTGCTAGACAAAGATATCGCTTTCATAGATCGATGATCGAAAAGCGCTCGATCATTGATACGGCTTTGCAGACTCCTCAATCAACGATAGCAGACGTGCAAATGGTGTGTGAACTGTTTTGCCAGAGGTGCAAATAGCATATAATCAGGTGTACAGTGTTTTGGAGCGGATCGGTACCAATTAACTGCGCTTGCTTAGGTTAGACAGATACAATCTTATTGTTAGGTGGAATTGACACGAAAAGAATGACAACAATAATGCAAACTGCACGTAATTCGAAATTATCTCAGACAAGGAACAGAGTGATACTTTTTTAGCAATCCATAAAAAATCGGAAAGATGTAGTTCCAGATCAATGAAGGCACAAGAAATTCGATAGATAGATGAGGGAGCTCCTTCTTACCTTGAAAAAGGATGCGCGACGGAGCATAGCCCAAAAGTATCAGAAGCATAGTTCGATAGAGCAAGATAGACAAGCTCTTCAAATTGGGCTAAGGGCATCGTTAATAGTTTTGACATAAAAATTGAAGCCGAATCTTCTAACTTTGAAAGCCAGAAAACAGAAAATCAGCAACCATAAAAACTCCTAGTTCTCCCGCTTGCTCACACGTATACCCCCACATCAGACTTCAATACATTTGCTGTGCCTTTTCCTTGGCTGGCACTTCAGGATTCGGAACTCTTCAAATTTTTCTCACATAGGCAATCGCATAACGCTTTTATAAGTAGGTTGTATGTTAGTCCTCTGCAAGGCCTAATTTTTGAGAATTATGAAGTTCATTTTCACTCCTTTGAATTTTCATGCTAATGATAAATCTCGATTCTAGCGCTTGTACAAGTCTGAATTTCAATGGTATTTTCAAAGGCTTGTGATACGAAATCACCTATGTGGGAGCAGTCCAGCACTACTTTTCTGACCTTCTTGATTTTTTCGGCATTCAAAGATTTTTGGGATTTGTCTTCAAAATCTAACTGGACCGAATTTGGTTCACAAGCTTCGGAGCCATTTTGTAAAGCTTCCTTTGCTCTATCAAATGCTGCTTCACTTATCTTCTTAGGTTTCGCACTTAGGTGACATGAAGAAAAAATAAGAACAAAATTTTTACTTTCCAACCTAACACTAAAGCTAAATTACAATACCATATTGTTGCAATCAGTTGATAAATAAGTTCGCTTGATTTTGCATCTCCCACAAATGCTGTAGGCAAGTTTTTGCTCTACATTTGCTATTTCTAGGAAGACCATTTCAATAAGAATTGAAATGCGAAATTTGTTTGAGTAGAGATCGTCTTCCAATGAAGGAAAGGCGCAAGGAAAAGAGATATCCTAATTTTTTTAATATGCACAATGAGAAAATCCGGTTTGTCTTCAATGACAACATTTCAAAACGGCAATTCACAATCTTTATCGTTTTTCGCTGGATAGAGAAAACCTGTCTGTATACAAATGCGAGATTTCTCACCTTTATATTCATCCTGATGGCACTTAAAAACTAAAGGTCTGAGCTTCCAATAACATAAGTGATGATGATGGTAGAAGCTTCGAGCTACTTCAATGCAAGAATCATGGACAAAGATCAAAGTTTGTGATGATTCGCATGACAAAAAGAAATTACTTTTAGCCAGCCTATTACTTTGACTTGGGCATCCAATGCGAACCGTGGAAAATAAAGGAAAGAATATGTCTTGAAAGTGCGCCATTAACAATCAAAACGATAGGACCGAACTAAACATGAATGAGGGGAAAATGCCAGACACAGCCACGTCACCCCACTTTTCGGTCTTTTATATACTGCCGAACAAGTTAAAAACTGTTTATGACTGGAAATTAGATATTTTGTTTGCGATGGCAGTCGAATGAACTCAATGGTGAAAGTGCTCCTGATTAGATTAATCATTTGTTTTTTTCAAATGATGACTATGTGCCGTTGACAAGTCTGCAATGAAGAACTTGCAGCGATAAGAAGAGAAAAAAATCACAATTTGGTGACAAATACCAGAATAAGGAAGCATATGACAAAGTCCATAGGAGTTCGAAAAAGGAATAAATTTTGATTTGATTATAGGAACTGGTTCACTAACGCATGCTCTTAAAAATTACTTTTATTTACTTGCACCAATCTATTCTTGCACTATAAATTCACCTATGTGAGGTCATCGATCGATTAGCCCAAAAATAAAAGTAATGAAAATAATTGAATAGTGGCTGGATGAAGTTGGTTGCTAACGACGGCCGCAGCAAAGATCTAGATTTTTCCAACATCCAGTTATCATCTCAATCAACACACATCGTAGCCAAACACCAGGCAATCACAACGACCAGTTCTTTTGACGAACTGGAAATCATCATTTGTGCTAGGTCACTTTGACATTTGGCGAATGGTCTCACTGCCTTCAAACCGAATTAGTGATATTCATGAGAATTTAAAGAATTCAATGCGATGAGCGAGAAGAACATTGTCTAGACATTGAATTCGACAACATTGAATGCTCTGATTTCTCGGGAACGGTAAAAACAGTTTTATTTACCGGGACAGTAAAGTAAAAGTAAATTATGATGCACTCTGTCTGCGTGCAAACATTTGAGCATCTTGTGTAACACTTTTGTTTATTGCTCTATTATAGTGAAACTTCCGCAGCTCCGTTCAAAGAGCAGTAAAAAAATTTTGTTTATTAGGTCAAAAACAAAATCAGTTATAGGTTGCTGCGTTTCTTCTACAGCCGAGTAACTTTCAAAACTCGAAAAATCTCAGTGATGAAAAAAAAAACTAAAGTTATAAGAGATTGGCGCGGTTTATTAAGGGGTTCGAAAAACTGACAACAAATATTTCTATAAGGTTAACAGTTCCTCACAAATCTTCACTATCTCTAATACTTTGCCTTATCCTAACAAACAGTAATCAGCCATAGTCGATTCAGCGACGCAGACAATGCACAATCTGCAATGATAGCGTCGCAAGCATTCAATCATAAGTAAGCAAAGAAAACGGAGCGTAAATAAAACGTATAATTTTTTTTGAGATTAATGCTTACCGGAGTACATTGTTTGCGAGATACCCCCCCATTGCTGTAATTTTGTGCAGGTGCAAATTTCTAATAAATATTCTTATCAAAGGTAAAGCTCCTCAAACAAAAAATGTCTAAAACCGTTGTGACAAAAAAAAACAGATTATATGAGCTTGTAAGAAAAGAATACAAATCAAAAACACGCAAGAATGCTGTAAATCAGACGCAGGAAAAACACAAAAAGTTGATTTCATGGTAAATACACACCTTGACAGTTCATAAACTTATAAAAATGTAGACACAAAAGGAAGTCCAAAGTCCAAACTCAGAGAAAGAGAACGTTATGAACAACAGGTATGATTGTCCTTGGCAACTGAGTCCTATCGATTTGCGTCGGACAAACTCTTTATGAGAAAATGGCCTTCGAGCACGAATGTAACGAACAAAAACTTTTGCACGGCCTTTATTTGCCAAAGCACGAAAATTTAATCAACATTTCGGATTTAACATCTCATATTATTTTGTAGTCGATGGCAGTTTTTGGCGAGCATTCTGCAATGAATTTCCGTTTAGAACTTGGAAAAGTTGAATTTTTAAAGATTTTCTCCTAAATTTTCGTCGAAAGAATTTTGATTTATCAGGTTGTCC